TCTCATTTTGTGTTTTGCAGAAGAAAGTAAGTCATACGGGTTTGGCACGACTTGAAGGTGAGTGAATGATGACAGTATCTTAACTGATTTACCGGTGTTAACTAGTCCTTTAAAGCACTGAGACCTGCTTGAGCTGGAATCAGGCCTTTTTCAGTATTAGTGTCTCCTGGATGCGGCCGGTAAAAATATCTGCGATCAACATATTTTGATTACTGAAGTGGAACATTCCAGAAATTCCCTTCCGCAAACTCACGAGGATGAAAAATTCTGGAGCGTTTTACAGTCGCCTGATGACAAAGAAACTGTATGTGGCTACAGACACACCAGAGACATTTATTAGCAGCAGGAGTTTTATTGCAATATCAAACAGTTCTGCATCTATTGAGGTGAAGTTAATGAATCGTTTTAGAGTCGTTACTCATAACTCTGCAGGGTTTAAGATGCCCGGGCTTGAGGAACTTCAATCCAGATCACTCACCATATTTGGTATGGTCTATGAGTTTGGTTTTGCTCTCACATGATCTTTTCAACACTGTTTCTCTTTTTGTGTTTGAGCTGAGAGGTGCTGGAAATAAACTCTGCAAGCCTGTAAAATAAAGTTCATCTCAGCCTTTGGAGGAAAACAAGCACAGCATTAGAGTCCAAATATTAAAGCCGCTGTGTTGTTTTGTACGAGCGCTGGAACAGGATTGATAATAATCAGAAATGTTTCTTGAGCAGCAAATCAGCATATTAGAATGATTTCTGAAGATCATGTGACACTGAAGACTGGAGAAATGTAAAAAAAATCAGCTTTGATCACAGAAATAAATTACATTGTACTATGTATGCACATAGAAAACAGTTATTTTAAATTGTAATCATATTTTACAATTTTTAACATGTTTTTGATCAAATAAATGCAGCCTTGGTGAGCAGAAGAGACTTCTTTCAAAAACATTGAAAAAATACTGTAATTATTCCAAACTTTTGACTGGTGCATATTCATAATTCTGTGTTTAGTTGATTATAATGTCCAGACTCAGGCTTTCTCAGCTCTGATCTGTTGTCTAAATGTGCATTTCCCTCTGGTTCTTCAGAGTAAAACTCAGTAATGTGTGACTGAGAGGTTGTGTGTCTTTCCAAAACATGTAATTTGGCTCCTGCTGACAAACACACACGACAGACACACTAATGTGCACGTATGCTGTAATTGCAGTGGTGATGGATCTGGGATGTTCTGAGCTTTAAAGTGACATAGACAGTGGCGTTCAGTGTGGGCTCGAGTAGAAAATCTGTCACGACTTGTGGAAAAGACAGTTTGTAATTTACTTCCTTAAGTTTGTCCCAAAAAAAAACAACAAGAAAATGCAACAAAAGAGTCCATACGACTTGTGCACTATATTGCAACTCGCAAAATATGGTGTCAGTAGTGCAGTTGAGACGTCAGTGACAACAAACATTGGCTCTCGTGAATCTCACATACAAACAGCATTGATGTCAGACCTGACACAACCCAGATTTGAGATTAGCAGCTGACTGGAAGATTTTCAGCTGATTTTACAACCTCATAAGACTTGAGAAGACTTAGTGCACAAGTACTTATTTTTATGATGCTTTTATGTTGTTGTTGCTGTTGTTTTCTCCTAATTGGAACTTGAGGATCTGGAAAAGGTGGAAAAATTATTTTGCACTGTGTATTCATAATGTACAAAATAATGTATTTTGTCTTTTCATAAATAATTGTAACCCAAGTTTAAATGATTTATAATATTTGCAATTTTATCGGAAATAAGTATGTGAAGTGTGTGCCTCTTTTTTAACTAAATTACTTAAGTAAGATGAAATGCAATAACAAATGCTGTCATGTTATCTTGCAGCCTGGTGTTTGGGAACACAATCGTTTGAAACCGTTCTGGGATGTAATTATACCAAATCATTTTTGATGACAGACTTTGGTTCACGCATTTCAGAATGACTAAAACAATATTTCAGATTGTGTGCAATGCTGGTTAGTCCAGTTACCCAATCACATGATTGCTGAGGCAAAGGCGCAAGGTTATTTGTTGCATCCAGGAACTTGTTCAGTAAGTGTGTATCCATTGTAGTTTCTTGACTAATAAAAAATCATCCACTTCAATTGTGCATTTTTTAATGCGCATTTTAAGGTTTTATGCACATCTTGCCATTTCCATCCAGTGTTTTTCATGCAATATCCCAAAATTTGCATAAAATAAGTAGATGCAAACATGGCTATAATACAGTATTTTTTAAGAAATACTGACAACAGTTCATGCATTCCCTGTGAATCGAACCCATGACTATGACACTAGTAACACCAAGGTCATTGGTTTGATTCTCAGAAAATGTGTGGAAATTTTAAATATTGCATAAAACATTTGCGAATGAAGCACCGTTTCCATCCCATGTGTTCAAGAGAAAAAAATCTAACACAGCAGCTCATGCATTTCCTGGGAATCAAACCCACAAACGTGGCGCTAGCACCGCCAACGTCATGGGTTCGATTCCCAGAAAAAGCATGAACGGATAAAGTGCATACCTTGAATGCAATGTATAAAAGCATCTGCCAAATGCATAAGCGTGAACACAAAAGTAACACAAGTCGATCTTGATGCAGAATAAGAAATTTATTTCATAACAGTTACAAAGAACAAAATAAGCATTTTTATCTTACATAAGCTGTACAGAGATGGCATGTATTTGACTCTAAATGATTCCGGAATAGATGCTAAAAGTATTAAATAGAAAAATGAAAAATAAAAAAATCTAAATTAAAGATGGAAAAATATGAAATATTCCATTTATCTACTGTACAAAACAACAACTTGAAAATTTAATTAATTCTATTGTACCCTGATACATCGTTTAGGCCTCTTGCGCATTTAAAAAGTATTTTACAAAAGAATCCGATGGCCTCGCCATCTCACAATAGCTAAAATCTTGGCCTCTTTGGTTCCATAATTCGGTATAATACATTTGAACAGAATTCAGTTGCTTCTATAAAAATAACTTTTCTTTTTTTTTTTTTTTCAATGGCAGGTTTTTTCTTTACTAATAATGCAACTTCAGTGCAAACATTGTAACAACCATCCGCTCAGAGTAGGAAGCGAAAGTTTACATTTCAAGTATTGAAAACGGTTCATAACAAGTGGGTCATCCGGTGTAGGTCACTACTATACATTGCATAGCTTGTGCGGCACTTATTTCAGAGGAATCGTGAATGAGGCGCGCCACTTGGTACCTTCGAAGGCATTTTTAAGTCTGCAAGTGCTTTATATTGTGCATTTACGGTATTTTTTGCAAGTGCTATGCTGCACCATGACGTAACTGAAGAGTTTGGCAACTCATGAGATCACTGGAGTCACTTGTGTTTCAAAAGCGTGTCTTCGGCTTGTTGCTTGAATAATCACAAACGAGACATGACAAGACAAGCCTTGTGATTTATGAATGGACCTCATGTCTGTTTAGAGACCCAAGGATTGTTGTAGCTCTTTGCAGATGTTCGTTGAAGACGGATGCTCTCGAATGGATTGGTTGTCACTCAATGGACTCGATGTGGGAAGGGCTGGCGTTGCTTTGAGAAGATGGTCAGTGCTTTTCGGGAAAGTACACAGATATAAAAGTATTTTAAGAGGATCACCTCTCCTCTTTCTATTTTTAAAGAGAAGAACCAAACTACACTCTTAAAAATAAAGGTTTCAAAGTGAGTTTTCTTAGCGATGCCATTAAAGAACCATTTTTGGTTCCCCTAAAAATCTTTCACTCCACAGTTTTTAAAGGGATAGTTCACCCAAAAATGAAAATGTGATGTTCATTTACTCACCCTCAGGCCATCCTAGATCGTGCTCCTTGGTGATTCATACAGTGGAGATCAGCGGCTGCCCAATTTTGAGAGTGAAAAAATAATATCGAGGAACTCAAAATGAATACCCATGGCTCCTGACGATATATTGAGGTCTTATGAAGCGAAACGATCAGTCTGTGCAAGAAACCGAACATTATTTACAACATTATTACCTGTGATCCAGAGCCTCAGGCAAACGGTCCGGATTGATGTCAGGTTCATGAACGAATCATTCTTTTGAACCGGTTCTTTTTGGTGAACTTTTTGAACTAGTTCACCAAATCGGACTGAAGCGTCTGAAACAGTTCGTGGCTCGAGCAGCACAGATCTACAAGTTACTCAATCAAAACTCACTTTCAGACGCCTGACAGTCACTGCCACCTGAAATGAGCCAAAATAGCAGTGTATCTGATCCTATGATGAATGAATCATTCAGCGCTTCAGTTCCTTCAACAGACACTGAACTGAGGAAACAGTTCGACTCGGACCAAAGACCGATGAGCCGCTGTTATGGACATGCGTGGACCGAACACTTGAATGAAGAGGTGAAATGAACGTTCTTATGGTTTCTCATTGTAAAAAGGTGAGCTGATGAAGATTCATACTTCTCTGTTTGCATGAGGCTCTGGATCACAGGTAATGATGTTATAAATAATGTTCAGTTTCTTGCACAGACCGATTGTTTCGCTTCATAAGACCTCAATATATCGTCAGGAGTCATGGGTATTGGTTTTGTTTTGCCTGTATATGCTTTTTTAATTCTCCAAAATGTGCATCTGCTTACATGCATTTTATGAATCACCAAGGAGAACGGTTTCAGCTAAAAATCTTCTTTACTGTTCTGCTGAAGAAAAATAAGTTACCTACATCTTGGATGGCCTGAGGCTGAGTAAATTAACAGCATTTAATTTTTGGGTGAACTGTCCCTTCAGAAGAACCATGTTTTTCTTAGTATGAAGAACATTTTAATAATCTAAAGAACTTTTTTGTCTAATGGATGATCTTCATGGTAGCCAATAAAGAACCTTTGTTTTTAAGAGTGTAGATATAGATAAAAGCAATCCCATCCCTTTGACGTGACAGTAACGTACAAACCTGTAGTCTGGAACTAAATCGCTCAATGATTAAAAAAACATAAATATATGTACAAAGATGCGTGGAAGAGCTGGGGTGTGCGTGTGGATTTGTGAGCACGGATAAGTCTTAAATATTAGTTTCTTACTATGATATTTTGGAAGTCTCAAGCGCAGCCGCACTCCTCGACAATCATGTTGTGCACGTCCCGTTTCACGATGTTGTATTCGTCGTCGAAGTACAGCATGGACATGGTGCTGAGTTTGGTTGGGATGCAGCAGGAGTTCATGGATCCTGGACTCATTCCTCGCATGCGGTATTGGTTCACGACGGCCGTGTGGAAAGACGAAGCCGATCCGGGAACCCCGGCCATGTACGCCGGACAGTTCCCTTCGCAATAATTCCCAAAGTACCCTGACGGGGCGATGATCCAGTCATTCCAGCCGATGAGGCGGAAGTCGATGTAAAACTGTTGGCGGCAACACAAGCTGCTGCTGCCGTCGCATTCAAGGCCTCGTTTGCGGATGCGGTGTTTGTTGTTGGCCGCTCGCGCTTGGACCACAATGAAAGGATGGTGGGATTCGTCGGCAGTGTTCACCAAAACAGGCACGATGCCCATCTTTTCACACACTTCGCACCGTACGTCCAGGTTCTGCCGGCGATCGCCTTTGGCGAAAACCATTTGCACGGTGTCCGTCAACGGAAAAGTGTGCCATCCGCTGCGTTTGAGATCCACACGCTTCTCCACCAAGTTCCACTTGCTCCCGAGTCCCGGTTCCTGCGAGTAAACCTTCACTGTGACCTTCCTCCTCGAACCTTTCTCCAAAACATTAGGCAGAAGCTTGAAGTACAACCACAGGCTGGCCTGGGACACGTATAGGTTCTGGTTGCCCTCGTTGGAGATCATGAAAAACAGGCTGGTTTTGGAGGTCGGCGACTCGTCTGTGGGATCAAGAAAAGAGAAAAGATCAGCTCAGTGCATTTCATCGGCTGATGCTCAGCTGACTTGGGCGATATGCTCCCCATGAACCTGGGCCCTCATTTATCAACAGTGCGTAGAAAAGGTTCTATATTTTGTCCTACGAATGAAATTTAGAATGTGCATAAGTACAAGAAAATCCGTATTTATCAA